GGAGTGCGAGATTGGACGAGGCACGAGAGACAGAGGACTTGGGATTTTCAGCCGCTAGGATGGAGATTGAGAGTGCAGATAGGAGGATAGGTGAGGTGGTGGTCTCGTCCTTCCAACGGTACTCCATGCTCATCGATGAGTTGGCGGCCTCGAGGTTAGAGGTGGGACAGTTGTCCACCCAACTGGAAGAAGAGAGGGCGGAGAATCAAGCATGGAGGTCCCGTATGGAAGTTAAGGAAGCGGAATGGGAAAAGTGGCTCCAGGATATGGCGGCAATGGTGGAGAGGCTCTYGGCCACTAAGGTGGTCGACTGGACGGAGCAAAGCCGGTATGGTATCCAGGGGGAGGAGGTACAGGGGCTCTTTGGCCGGGAAGGGACGACAAAGCCACCTYAGCAAGGAAGTATGGGGAAGGTATTTCAGGACCCAATAGAGGCGGCAGCACGGCGGGAGGCCGAGGAGGGGAGGTTCAACTTCAGGACGCCCACGGAGTTGGCCTTGCAGCAAGCCACCCCTATGACGATTGAGATCCTTGAGGGCGAGCCAGCGCAGGGACCCCAACCTCCAGTGGAGGAAGGGGGGCCCACAGAGGAGTCCCCTACGATCCTTTCGGAGGTGCAGGAGGGTGCCCTTACGGGAGCAGCAACATCCACGGAGCCGGAGGCAATGGGGGGAGAGGCGTCTCGACTGGATGAGATAGTGGCAGATATGGAGTTGGACATGCCGTCAGGAGAGCCTCAGGGACAGAACACCCCAAAGCGTGTGCTAGAGATAGGGGAGCTGAGGACGCAGTTAGGATCTTGGGCTACTGGAGCTGACTCAGGAGAGCACATCTCAGAGCAGCAGCAGGAAGTTATGAGCGAGCCAGCGACTGCCGTGACTCCCCAGCCTTCCGACCTCCATAGGGACGAGGGGGCGACTGCGAGGGGAGGAGTCCGCGAGGGTAGGCCACTGAGATTGAACACTCCAGCGTACCGACCCGAGGGAGGTGAGGCGCTAGCAGGGCCGAGTACCCAGATGACGGAGGCGGGGCCGACAGAGTCATGGAGTATGCCCCAGAGCCATGAGATGACCAGGGAAACTAGCGAGACTCCGCCGTTGCCTGGGTCCCAGAAGAAGAAGAGGAGGTGTCGAGGGAGATCAGACGATCAGTGCTTCTTCTGCAAGGACGGCGTACATAGAGCTCTTGAATGCCTGAAGTTCCTTAAGGACAAGG